TGTCCCCACTGTACCTCTGTCCCATTGTCCCACCGTCCTCGCCACCGCCCTCACCACTGTCCCCGCCACCACTGTCCCCACCACTGTCCCACTGTCCCCACCACATTCCCACTGTCCCCACACCACCGTCCCCACCACCGCCGTCTCCACCACTGTCCCACAGTCCCCACCACTGTCCCACTGTCCCCACTGTTCCCACCATTGTCCACGCTGTCCCCACTAGTGCCCCGACCATGTCTCTGTCCACACTCTCCCCACCATTGTCCCACCACGGTCCCACGCTCTCCACTTTCCCCACGGTCCCCACCACTGTCCCACTGTCCCCAGTGTGCCCACCACTGTTCCACTGTCCACACTGTCCCCGCAACTGTCCCACTGAGCTGTCCCACTGTCCCCACTGTCCCCACCACTGTCCCACTGTCCCAACTGTCCACACCACTTTCCCCACTGTACTACTGTCCCACCACCGTCCTCATCACAGCCTTCACCGCTGTCCCCACCACTACCGTCCCCACCACTGTCCCACTGTCCCCACCACTGTCCCGGTGTCCCCTCACCACTGTCCCCACCACCACCGTCCCCACCACTGTCCGTAACACTGTCCCACTATCCCCGCACCACTGTCCCCACCACCACCGTTCCCACCACTGTCCCAGTATGCCCGCCACCCAACTGTCCCGAGGAGCAGGAATCGTTTGCCGGCGGCGAGGGGGGGGGGGGTCGAACCGGTAGTGACCCCCCCCGGTTTTCGAAGGGGGAGGGGTCGAACAGGTGACACCCCTCTTTTCATGATGGACTGGGGGGGGGAGGGGTTCGAACCGGTAGTGACCCCTCCCGGTTTTCGAGAGGGGGGGGGGGGGCGTTCGAATCGGTAGTGCCCCCCCTCTTTTCATGATGGACTGGGGGGGGGAAGGGTTTCGAACCGGTAGTGACCCCCCCGGTTTTCGATGGGGTGGGGGGACGGGTTGGGAACCCCCAGTGACCACCCCCCCAGTTTTCCGCCAACAGCGGTAGTACGATAATATATGTCTGTATATACAAATTTAGATATGTATAAAGATATATAGATACATATATATATATAGATATATATATATAGATAGAAAGATAGATGGTTATATATATATATACAGATATATATATATATATATATCGATATATATATATAGGTGTATATATACACACATACATACATACATACATACATGCATACATACATACATACATAAATACATACATACACACACACACACACACACACACATACATACATACATACATACATACATACATACATACATGCATACATACATAAATGCATACATACATACATGCATACATGCATACATGCATACATACATACATACATACATACATACATATATACATCCACACATGCATACACACATACATACATACATACATGCATGCATACATGCAGACATTCATAAATTCATGCATTCATACATTCATACATCCATTGCATGCATACATACATGTATACATGCATACATGCATGCATGCATATATACATAGATACGTACACACATACGTAAAACATGAATACATACATACATACATACATACATGCATATGCATATACATATATACACACATACATACATACATACATACATACATACATACATACATACATACAGTACATGCATACATACATACATGTTACATACATATATACATACATACATACATACATACATACATACAGTCGAACATCCATACATACATACAGACGCACGTATATATAGATATGTGTATACATATGTATATATGTATATGTATATACATACACGCAACCGTGCTTCTTGGTAGTTCAAGGGTTGCGCGCGTGAAGGAGCTCCACAACAGTCCATTGACCATCAACATGTCGGTGATCGACGTTGCATCGCTGCGCTTTGGAGCGGTTAGAACAAACTTCTGGGGAACCAAACATCGTGGTCACCACGTCCCCTCCTCCATCCAGTTCTGTCGTCCTCCTCTTTTCCAGTCTCATTTTTTCCATGTGTGTCCTGTTTGTGTGCTGCGTTTTCTACCTCGCCTTCTCTGGTGGTGCGTGTGAAACTGACCGTTCGTGGGTTCCTGGGGGGTACAGCACGACTCCGTCCTATCGGGACTCAGACTACATCTCACCATGCTTTGGGGGCAACGCAATGTGAAACAGTAGCCAGGTTCGTGGTTTGCCGGGGGTTTCAACACCTCGCCATGTATGGTGGCCTGCGAAGTGTGTAACGGTCTCCACTTTCGACGGCTGCTAGGCGGTCTGGCGCTGTGGCGTCATACGGCGAGCGCCGCGAACCCTGAATTGGAACAGACTATTGTTCCTGTCGAAGGTCGCACATGCGCGCGACGCCGCCAAAGAGGACGAGGCCAACGCCGTGCCGAGGGCGCGCCGACGGACCTTCCACATGTTGTTGACGGGCCAGGGCGCCTCCGTCAATAAGGCTATCGGAGATCGTCCAGCAGATCGTGGTGCCCGTCCTGGATTTCCTGTTCGGGCGCTCTTCAACGCAAGTCGTCAGCGCGAATGCTCCCAGTGCGAGAGCACCTCCAACGAACAACACACGGCGACCACGTGACACAGGGCGGCGCAGATGGGCATCAGGGGGCACAACAACCTGGCGATGGTGCCCGCGGCCGATGTCCGGAACCTGCTGGAGAAGCACCTCCACCCGCTCGTCATTGAAGAGGTCAGTCTGGTGTCGCCAAAGCTCTGAAACTTGCTCACCTGCCGCGAGCGCCACTATGGCAATCTGCAGGAGGCGAACTACGTCAAACCATCCTGCGCCTTCGGCATACCATTTTTGCCACAATCGGAGCAAACTGGTTTGGGGATCTCATTGCTGTTCCACCAGTGGGGGGAAGGTAAGGCCGTCGAGCGCCAAAAAACCAGGAAATCTTACACCAGCAACTTCCTGCAATTCGAACTCCATGCCAGGAGCCGCTCAAGGACCCCGACCTTGCTGATCTCATGAACTTCGTGCGAAAGCCAACAAAAACAGTCTCCGAACAAGACTGCGAAAATATCAGAAACCAGCTATCAAAAACCAGCGACGCGCGGCGGCTTCAACGGACACGTGATCTCTCGTTTCTGGGGCGCCGCGGCTTGGTGGACTGTGGAACACGCGAGGCTTGAAACTCAACGAAGACCAGGCGCGCCGCTTCGTTTAAAGCGTCCGTGTTGCCGCTGTGCCCCGCGAGCATTGCGCCGAATGTGCCACGCTTGCGCTTGTCCTTGTACTTGTTTACGCGGGCCCATTCGCCGAAAGGCAAAGGCTGCAATATCCGCATGAGTCTCTCCTGCTGGTTGGGCGATCGCGCGCGCGACCGCGCTATCGGCGTCACGGACGAATCCTCGGCCGATGGCCAAGTGAGCAAGCAGGCGTGCCCGCGTGCGGCGCGCGGGTCACGCGCGCGGCGCGCGCAAGGTCACGCACGCTGATCGTTCCTCTACGTGCAGAGCCAAGCTTTCGCGGCCTGCCAGGGCCAGACCATGCACGACGGAGCTGTCGTCGACGCCAGGCGCAAGAACGCGGACGGCGTGGGCACACTATGGTTGCGCATCTCTACGCGATACTCCCCGACGGTCGATGATACGGGACCCGGGGAGAAATCTCCCTTCCCGCAGACGCCCGCAGACCTGGCTGCACGCCTGCGCGCGTTCACCCCCCATTGAAAAGTGCCAACAAGAGGCCGAGCAGCTGGCCGTGCAGCGCGGCCTCGATCAGTTCTCGCACATGTTCTAAATAACCGTTCGGGATGCCGCAGCTCATTCGTGAGAGTTGAAACATCGTCCCCTCCTTCCTCCTTCCTCCTCTATCGTCGTCCTTCTCCTCCTTACCTTGCCTAGCTATCCGACGGCATGCCGCCCTCCTCTCATTCTCACGATCTGTGGATCCCGCCCGTTTCCTCTTCGGACCGATGGTCAGCATCCTTACATCCCGCCCTCGCCCACCGCTCGGTGTCATGCGAGTCCCGCAACGCGAGGACCCCCCTATGTACCTCTCGCGACACATTGCAATCCTTGCCACGTCCTCATCCGCAATGACGTTGGCCAACTGCTCGGCTCAGTTAGTTGATGTAGAGGGGTCGGGTACGTCGCAGGGCAATGTGCTCGAATGATTTTGACGTGCGCGCTTGCGCGCGCATGGCCACGAGGCGAGGGCTCTGGTGGCCACCAGCATAAGAGTCTGGAAATGCCAAGCAAAAAAACAAACAACTGTACACACAAATGTAACCCCCTAATGGGAGTACCGCTTGGACTACGTAAACAAAAAAACGCGCACACCGAGAAGAAGACCATAATCAATAGGAACAAGAACTGTAGCAACAACCGAGATACTGGTTGACTGACACTCCCCCAAGCGGGCGGGATGCCCGAACTATACTACGACTCGTGGGCCCCTTACCAGACACGAGCTTGATTAGCGAAAGCATCACTCTGGCCAAAGTCCCTCAAAGACAGCCGAATGAGGGGAATAATGAAGAGAAAGGGCTTAGGAGTGAGGATTAGGCGGTCAGGAAGGACGAGATGGATTAGTAGGGAGAGGGGGGAGGTGATGCACAGGGAGGAGGAGAAACGATCGGCAGGAGACTTAAGAGGAAGGGAAGATGAAACAGGAGCAGGAAGAGGAAAAGACCAGGACCAGGAACAGAAGGCAAGGATGGAAGGAAGGCAAGGACGACTGCCCTGGGGGAAAACTTGCAGAAGCCTGCGGCGAGCAACAAGTGCTTGGATCGCTGGATCGTCAGGCAACTGTCTCTCTCTCTCTCTCTCTTTCTTTATTTTTGTTTGTTTCTCTTTCTCTCTCTCTCAACTCGGGCCTACCAATCGCCCTTGCTGTGTGTGCATTATGCGCTTAGGTTCGACCGGAAGTGCGCTCTCGACCCGCGAATCAAAAGTGTGTGTGTGTGCATTCTGTCCAGGTGGGCACTATGCCATCGAGGGTTGTGAGCACCGTGCCCGCGGGGGGGTCGGCTGCCTGCGACGCTGCCACCCACACGTTCACTGGCGCACTCTGGTTGGTGGCGATCTGCCGAGAACCTCTCAGCAGCAACTCGGCGCTCGCGTCAACCTGAACGGACGACAGGACGACGGCAGGCGAAGGGCAAGCTCGGAATGAGATATAAAGCGGGCAATTCTGAGTCTGAAGAATGTGTCGAGCGCCGCGGCCGATTCGGAACATTTTGAAAACAAATATGAGAGACATCCACCGTGACGCAGGCACCAAGTTGAGCGCCATTAGGTCCCATTAGTGTCTGGCCTATGAGGCCGTCTGGGAGACCCCAGGAACCAGCCCCAAAGGCACAAACCAATTCTAGACGCTTCGCGTATCCCCTCCAGCCCGTCCAGAAACGACGCCCAGGCGAGTAGAGGGTCGTCCTGAGGGGCTTTTCGGCGTCTTGGGTGCCTCGGGGGGGCCTCTGTGGGCCGTTCGGAATCCTCTTTGGGGCCTCCTGGGGGCCTCTTGGGGCCTCTTGGGGCCATCTTGGGGCCTCTGGGAGCACCTTGGGTGCCCCTGGGGGGTCTCTTGGGGCCTCTTGGGGGTCTCTTGGGGGCCTCCTGGGGGCCTCTTGGGGGGCCTCTTGGGGCCATCTTGGGGCCATCCTGCGGCCTCTTGGGGTATCCTGGGGGCCTCTTGCGGCCATCGTGGAGGAAATCGATCAAAGAAGGGGGGGTCCTAAATTTCAGCACCCCCATCAGAAGGCCAAAATGGGGCCCAAACCATAGTAAAATCAATGATTTTGGCTTCCTCGCCGAGGCCGTTTTGGACGCTCCAACGCGCCGCGGAACCCCCTGTCCAGGTCAGCGGGGAGGGGGTAGGGGGAGGGGTAAACCCCTCCCCGAAGGGGAAGAAGGAGGGGTGGAAGAGGAAACTCCTTAAACCACCGACGCCCAGAGGGCTGGTGGGACTCGTTTGGAACTGGATCTCGTATGCTCGTCTTTTCGGCCTCGGGAGCCCCCCAGGACGGCCAAAGCGGCCTCTAAAATGCGTCGAACCTGTCGGCGTGTGCGAGGAAGTTGCCCTTTCGAGCCGTCGTTTCCGTCATTCGTTTGTTGTCGTCTCTCTGTCGTCCCGTGTCGCTGCGGCCACCATTTCTCTGGGCCCGTCGCCGGTCCCCGTCAATTCCTGGGCCCGCCTCCTCATGCGCGCCAGCCGAAGCGAAATTGAGCAACGTAGTACTTCAGTCGAAAGTAAAGCCCTTCACTTTGATCTTTCCTCCGTCGGGGATGGGGGTCCGGAGGAGGGGGTCGCCACCCAGGTACGACTCACCCCCGGTGGGTCCTGGGTCCCGAAAAAAACCCAGGACGGGCCAGTAATGCCCGAAAAGGCCTCCAACACGGTCCAAGGGGGTCCTGAATCGCCGAACGATGTTTCCAAGACGTTTTCACGGCCTCCAGACGGCCCATGAGGCCTGCAAGAAAGCCCAAGAGTCCTCCCAAGGAGGCCCCCAGAAGCAACATTCATAACATCCCCCCTCGGTTTTTCATGGGCACCCCCAAAGAGGTCCCCAAGACGGGCCCAAGACCTGGACAGCAAAATCCCACCAGCCCTTTGGGCGACAGGTGGTCTTAGGAGAGCTTCTTCCACAACACCTTTTCCCCTCGGGGAAGGGAACCCTCCCCCTCCGCTCCTTGGTTTTTTCGTTGGGGACGGGGGATCGATGTGTCAGAAGGTCCTGCCTCGGCCCCTGGGAGGGCAAATTGTTTGGCACTCCTCATCACGAGGATTGTGGCCCCCGAAGGGGGGAACTACATTTAGCACCCTCCTCTTTTGACCGACCACCTCCATGATGGCTCCCCAAAATGCCCCCCCAGGGCTCCCAAGAGGCCCTCAAGACAGCTCCAACAGCGTCCCAAGAAACCCCAATATACCTCCAAAAGGCACCCGACAAGGCACCCAAGAGGCACCCGAAAAGGCCTCAGAGAGCCCAAGATGACCTCCAAGATGGCTCAAGATAGCCCAAGCTGGATCAAGACGGCTCCCAAGATACTCCAAGAGGCCTCAAGACCGCTCCAAAGCGGCTCAAAATGGCCACGGAACCTCCCCAGGAGGCCTCCCCCGTCAGCTCTCATGGGCATCGTTTCTGAATGGTCTGGTGCCGACGAGTCGAGCGTGCTGGGGCGAAGACGAGGTCGAACGCGGAGCGTGCTAGGGCGGACCGCGTTTCGTAGCTAAGGGGAAAACAGCGAAGCGAGTGACAACCGCCGGGTGGAAGAGAGCACTGCAGCACCGCCCGGCCCGCAAGCAGCTGCCAAAAGAGCGCGCCGAGGACGATGACCACGAACACCAAGGACGGACCCATCCTTGCCGAACTGGAAGAACTTGAACCCGAGCACCAGGCGAACTGTGGACGCAGCCAAACTGGCGCGACAAGGCCGGAATGGGGGAAGTGGTGGAGCACAACGCCGCGCGGGTAGAGCTTCGCGAACGCGAGCGCAAGAGTGAGGGCGCAGCCAAAATGGCGTGGGAAAAGGCACCTCGGCGGCCAGGGTGCGCGGGTGGAGGGCCACTCCATCACGGGTACCCCGAGCCTGCGAAGGTCGGAGAAGACGCGATCGACGCAACCCCAGGGTAGACAAGAGCGAAGTGGTCGGACATGTGGGACCGTGGGCCACACCTGGCCAGCGGCGGCAGGTCATCCGAGTAGACGCGAGCGGCGCATGCCCGAGAGCGGGAGACAGGGACAAACCACGAGTGCAGGTAGGACAGCAAGTCAAACGTCACGACCAGCGCCGCGCGCCCCGCGTGCGATTGGAAACTGAAGATGACCGGCACGAGAGAGCCATGCAGTGAATGGGCCAGCAGCACATGGCCGCGGCGACAGGCCCGCAGTACCCCAGGCGACCTGTCGAACACGCAGACCGTGCAGGCGAGAGGCGGACGCCGCGCTCTGTCACCCAGGATAGGAAACAGCGAGCCCAACACTTGCCGTTCGGGTAGGACATCAGGCCAAGCGACGCGACCAGCCGCCCGAGCGCCCCGCGCGCACGGACCCGGAGGCAATGGAATGACCGACACGACGATGTCGCGCGTGGGAGCGCCGCCCAGCAGGTAGCCCAAGGGTGAGGCGGCGGGCGGCCGCGCGGAGGCCGGCGCCCGCAAGCGCATGCCGGGGGGGCCGTGGCGCCGCGGGCGAAGGGGGACCACTGGCAGGGATGGGGCTCGTTCGCCCAGCCGCCCTTGCCGCCGTCGCGCGGCGGGGCGGACGGAAGCCAAGCCCCGGGGGGGCTGGGGCTGCGCCGGCTGGGCCAGATCCAACATTCACGCGAAGCAGCTGATCGCTGCGCGCAATCGGACAGCCTCGGCAGAGGAATACCCGAAGTGCGCAGCCGATCGCTGCCAGCACTCGTAAAGCCTCGGCAGAGAGCGGGGCGCCCGAGGTAAGCAGGAAGCAAGCAACGCGACGGAATGGGCGACATCGGCAGAGGGATACACGCGGTAGAGCTAACAGCTGACCGCGCATGTGAGCGCCGCCCAGCAGGTGGCCCGAGGGCGGAGCGGCGGGTGGCCAAGCGGAGGCCAGCGCCCACAAATGCGCGCCAGGGGGGGCGCGGCACCTTGAGCGAAGGGGGCCATTGGCAGGGATGGGGCTCGTTCGCCCGGCCCGCCGACACGAACCCGCGCGGCCGTCGCGCGGCGGGGCGGGCGGAGGCGGAGCCCCAGGGGGGCTGGCGCAGCGCCCGCCAAACCAGACCCACAAAAGGCTCACATGAGGCAGCTGGTCGCTGCGAGCACTCGGAAAGCCTCGGCAGAGAAATCCCACCAGCCCTCTGGGCGTCAGTGGTTTAACGAGTTTCCTCTTCCACCCCTCCTTCTTCCCCTTCGGGGAGGGGTTTACCCCTCCCCCGACCCCCTCCCCACTGACCTGGACAGGGGGTTCCGCGGCGCGTTGGGGCGCCCAAGATGGCCCACGACGGCTCCAAGAGGGCCTCAGGGAGCCCAAGATACCCTCCAAGATGGCTCAAGATAGCGCAAGATGCCTCAAGATGGTCCCCATGATGTTCCAAGACGTTCCAAGAACTCTCCAAGACGGTTCCAAGTGCCCACAAGAGAATCATGAGGATGCATCCAAGAGGCCAAAATGCTTCAAAACCCTCGGGAAAATCAATGTTCATGGTGTTCTCACTTTTTCGCTTGCGATGCACATCCGAGGCGTTGAGGTGGCTCCAAGATGGCTCAATATAGCTCCAAGGAGGGCCCAAGAAAGCCCCATGACGGCGCCAAGAGCGCCGAAGTGCGCTCCAAGAGCGGTCCCAGAGCGGTACAGGAGACGATTTTTGGAGTTCCTGGGGGGGGCTCTAATTAAGGAACCCTACTTCCTTGACCGATGTCCTCCAAAATTGCCCCAAGAGCGCCCCAGCAGGGCCTTCAAGGGCGCCCAGGCGGGTCCAAGAGGCCCCCAGGACGCCCCAAGAGGCCGCAGGATGGCCCCAAGATGGCCCCAAGAGGCCCCCCGAGAGGCCCCCAGGAGGCCCCCAAAAGACCCCCAAGAGGCCCCACGAGACCCCCCAGAGGCACCCAAGGGGCAAAGGTGGCCCCAAGAAACGCCCAGGAGGCCCCCAAAGGCCCCAAGATGGCCCCAAGAGGCCCCAAGGGGCCCCCAGGAGGCCCCAAAGAGGATTCCGAACGGCCCACAGAGGCCCCCCCGAGGCACCCAAGACGCCGAAAAGCCCCTCAGGACGACCCTCTACTCGCCTGGGCGTCGTTTCTGGACGGGCTGGCGGGGGTGCGCGAAGCGTCTAGAATTCCCAAGGTACGCAGCTGCTGCTGCTATCACTCAATCGGCCTAGACAGAGGAATACCCACGGCACGCAGGAAGCAAATCACTTCGACGGAATCGATAACCTCGGCAGACGGACACCCAAGGTAGAGCTGGCAGCTGGTCGCTGTAAAGACTCAGTGGACCTCGGCAGATGCACGCCCAATGTGATGCCCCTTCGCAACGGGCGAACGTAGAGGAAGCCATCGGCAGGGCCCCAGGGGGAGGAGAAGGGGGGGGAGGGGAAGGCAGCCGATCGCTGCAATCACAGGAGTAGCAGCCCACCGAATGCGAAAGGCGAGGTGGAAGG